ATCTACTGTAGCTAATCATATAAGGTATATGGCGATGTCTTATTTTGATAGGGTCTAACTTGTGATGGACATAATCTTTTATGAACTAATAACAGCGTTGCGTGGGAAGTGTAGAGTCAGCCTACTTGGCGCCATTTTTTTATCGGAAGCTTTCGAAGCCGTTCATGGTTGAATGCCATTAGCATTTCCATTCCTTTTAGTGAGGCCGATCAACGTCTTATGTCTTCTATTTGGCATAAACATGCTCACAAAATATATACTTGCGCTGGCCGTAAAGATAAAATTTATTTCCCGATGCAGATTACTACGTTATAAGGTAATCATATAAAATGCAGAAAACATGGACACTTATCTCAATTACTCGGGAACGTGAAGCAGCTTGAAACTTAATATCTTGTACGTTTTCTATAATTAAAGGCGAATGTAAATTTCTATTAATGGATCTGGTTTTTCGAATAAATTCCACTCGTTATATACTCGCTTGGTTTTACGTCGTCGTACCAACAGACGGTGACATGTTTTAAATTCATTCCGTAAATGATGCCTTATCATATTAAAATGTTAGCGGTACAAAAAGAAGACTCTTGAAGCATTCGCAATTCGCTGGAATGAGCATTAAATGTGATGCCACGCCTTCCACATGTCTGGGCAAATCAAGGTAATCGCTAACTATATCAAAATAAACAACTCACTGTGTTGCAACGGAAAATAAACTGCACTTGCAGCACGAAGAGAACGTCTATCATGCAAACTCAACTCACGTAGGTTACTCATGGACGCCAGCAGTAATTTTTCTCAGAAAGGGGGGGGGGGCATTATCAACAAGGAACACCTTTTGTGAAATGATATCTGCCCCAAAACTTTCTGAAGAGCAGAAATGCCTCTGCTGAATAATACGAGGGAGGGATGTCTTTTAAGTTTTGCATGTAGAAACATAGTAGGCCACGCGGATCGAAAGTCAGTACTGAATCTTAACCTCACTCTTTAGTAAACTTAAATTTGAAGTTTCACAACAATACGTGCAGCGTTCTCACAACAGTGAATTTTTAAGTGTCACCAAGTCATTAGAAAAAAATTTAATTCAACAGAGACAATTATCGCGACAATAATGCTTTGCTGAGTTACTGTCTGTTTTCGGCAACGAAGCGCCACATCAGTCGACAATTTCCCTTTGGTATGGAGAATTCAAACGTGGAAGATAGGCATGTGACATATCGCGAGATTGAGGCGTCCTTTTAGATCTCAAAGACCTCAATTCAAAAAAAAATAACATGAAGAATTAGGAGTAAGAAAATTAGTTTCTAGTTGGATACCCCATCTGTTCACTGAAGAGCAGAAAGCAGCCAGGGTTAATTGGTGTCAGAAAACGCTTAACCGTTTCAATTCCGGAAACTCAAAAAATGTGTACAGCATTGTTAGTGTGATGAATCGTGGATTTACTGTTATGAATCAGAAAATAAACGACAGTCGGCTGTTTGGGTGTTCCTAGGTGAAGAAAAGCCAACAAAAGTCATCCGTTCTCGAAGTGTTTCGAAAAAGATGGTCGCGACATTTGTGTCAAAAGCAGGTCATATTGCAATAATTCTTAATGAGCAAAGAACTGTTACTGCGGATTGGTATACCTTGACTGCTGATTCAGCTTTAACACACGTCTACGTCGATTACTAATATTAGGTACAATTCAATTTTTTATCGTATTTGTTAATTGGGTTTCTGGAAATCAGTGAACTTCATAGTTACGAACTTAACAATTTTATATTTTAGTCTATATTAACGGAAAATAAGATACCTGCACGCACTATGTGCACATGTGAGCGGGTGTTCTCCATCAACATTCTATTAATAGTATAAGTTTGAAGTAGGTACTCGTAACAGACTTAACTGTCATATATTTTTTGAACCACTTATCTTCTTTAAGAGTTAATCACTAAGTGCTGCTGTCAGAACTAATTTATGAACGCTGCTACATTTTGAGCAGATAGAAGGGCGACCTAAAATGGAAAAGATGGTACCCTAAAATAATATTTACGCTAGGATAAAAGTAAAAAGCCTTTTAAAGCGATTCTGACTGAAGTATTGGATGTGTCTGTATTGGAGAAATAAACCTTTTTGGAAAATGGAGAAGTGGATGACTATTTTTGAAGACGAGAGAGTAGAATAACTAGTAGAAAGTGTTCTTATACAGGTGTTTCAGAACTATGGGATCAAACTTGTAGGGGTTATTCAGTAGAAAACATTTGAGTATAGGGACATATATCCGGCGCTTGTGTGTTGTTATCTTTACGATAACAGAGATTATTTTTTGTAGCTGCATTCCATATCGCATTAGTCGTACTATCGTATTTGTGAAGTTTGCAAGAATTTAACAAAAATTAATTGTTGCTAATAGAAAACTGTACCAATCAAGAATTGGCGCATATAAATTTGGCATACGGAGCGACAAGCTGCAATGCACGAGCAACAGCGCGGTTGTATCAAGAACGTTATCCCGAACGACAGCATCCGGGATACAAAAAGTTTATTGCTATTCGTCGGCGGCATGTTTAAAACCAACATGCACGATACTGGTGTTGCTCGAACCGTAAGGTCGGTCGAATTTGAAGAAGAGGTCCTTCAGCGAGTTGCCGATGAACCGTCAAGTAGCACACGTCACATTGCTGAGGATATGAATACGAGTAACGCTTCCATCTGGTGGGTGCTACACGAGCAACAACTTTATCCCTACCACTTCCAGAAAGTTCAAGGATTGACTGCAATCGATTATCATCCTAGAGTTCAATTTTGTCAATGGCCTCTTCATCAAATCGCTGCACAACCAAATTTTTTACGCTATGTTTTATGGACCGATGAAGCCTCTTTCACAAGACAAGAGACGGTGTTTTTAATAGTAGGAATACCCACGTTTGGGACAAAGAAAATCCCCATGCAATTTTCCCTAGAAAACATCAGCAACATTGGTCTGTCAACGTGGCAGGCATTGTTGGTGATTATATGATTGGGCCATACCTTCTACCTTAACAGGACCTATTTACCGGCGCTTCTTGGAGGAAGTTCTTCCAGAACTTCTTGAAAATGTTGCTGTACAAGTACCTGGGTGTTTGGCTCAGCGGTTTGGGCACCGTTGGATTGCCAGAGGTGGAGCAGTTTCTTGGCCTCCTAGGTCACCCGATTTAACATCGCTAGATTTTTTCCTGTGGGGACGTGTAAAGTCTTTGGTTTAAGAAACTCCAGTAGAAACAGAGCAAGACTTAATTGGACGAATTACAGCAGCATTTGAAATCATTCAAAACGAGTATCAAATTTTTAGTCTAGTCCGCCGAAATCATGTGCGACGTTTAAATCGGTGTATTCAGGTTGGAGGAACACATTTTGAACAATGCTTGTGATGATATCATGTACAAAAGGCAAAAATTAAATGCATTAGATCCTATTTAGGCAATTAATCGTCTTTCTAAATTTTAACGCGTCTTAGGGCCGTAGTGCCGCAGTGACACTTTTGCGGATAAGGGTCCCTATACTCAAATATTTTCTACTGTTACACGAAATAACACCTAGAAGTTTTATCCCTTAGTTCTGAAACTCCCTGTATCATTTCTAACAGTTTTTGACGTTTATTTTTCGTTTACACAATAAGTTTGTGAATGCTTCCATTTTCGACAAAATAATTTGATCCTAGGTTTTTCGTATCATGAAATATTTCATCACCAAGCTCGAGATAAGACTGAATTCCGCAAACATTTTTACCTCAAAGAGATCCGGGGAGTGGCTTCTCTCAATGTTAAATCAGTAATAGAACTACGACCACTTTTATTAGTTATTGTAGCCCTTCGTTTTCAATAACTGAGCTCCTGGAGAATGATCCAGAATTCTGACAGCTGTTGACATTTGTCACACGAGTTGCATCCATTTTCGACAAACTAATATGTTCCTAGGTTCTTTATATTATTAAGGATTAATTGCAATTCTAATTTTGTCTTTAGAGATGGAGATGGACGCATCTTTTTGCCCGAGAATTACTCAAGGAGCTACTTCTATGTAAGTGTTCAGGAATACCCCCCGAAAAGTAAAAGATCCATCCACGCTTACTTTTTTTTAGTCATTCTACTTCCTCATTTCAAGAATTATGCGTCTGGTGTCAGAAATAGAAAATGCATCAACGTACAATAGAGAACTAATGATTTTCAGCTCAATCATGTATTTATTATATTTTGGTCATTCAATTGACAACCTTTTGTATAAGAAAAACCATCTTGATATCGTCAAGAAATTGTCAATTTTCATTTGGATGGAGAAAAGGAACATTGTATTTCTGAGGATGTTCAATACGACAATATGAATAACACTAAAGATAGGCATTTTCCTGCAAATAAATGATGTTGCGAAAAAGATTTCTCACTTTTGTTTCTCAAGACGCAATTTGATTTTATCTGTTAATGAATACTTCTTGAAGAAATTCTCAAGCAAATTCCCCCTTAAGCATTCGCGTCCCCCTGCCGATATCTTTTCCCATCTTGGACGACCACCCAAGAAGAGTCATCTCAGTTGGCTTTGGCGATCTGCCTCCTCCTAATTACCGCCATCAACCTCCACCCTGCCGCTGCTCAAAATTTATTGCGAATTAATTTGAGTTAAGGAAAAAAGGCCCCGCCGTTCTGCGCTGCGTTTGCACTTTGACGGAGATGCTCACGGACTCTGTTATTAAGATAAGTTGTTCGCTATCCGAAAAGGATTGTCGAACCACCAGAACTAATGTCTGTAGGTTTTTTATGAATGGGGCGCAGTGACCCATTTTTGTCATATTTGCTCATTATTTTTCTGCTACTCATTTTGTCAATGTTTTTCCTGAAATGCTTATTTTTCATTATTTAAAAAGAAAAGTGTTCCAATAAATTGAACAATCAAGGCATTCGCTTTTAGAACGGTTGTATAGTGCATATTTTAATATGCTCTTCAATTTTAAGATACAAACTTCCAAACTACTCAGTATTTACTCAATTTACTTCCAAAATACTGGTTTTACTAATTTTTTCTTTCGACGCCTTCGGCCTTGATGGGGAGCAATTCTTATAGTCTAAAAGGGTTTAAGAAAATGTTTTCAACGAATCGTTTATCGTCTCACCATAAATTGACTTGTCTTTTTGATATAATGTGCTATGGATTAGAGTTTTTTTTCAATTATATGTTTTTAAGGATAATTATAGTTACTATTCTTTTGATTCTAAATGCGAAACTTTATATTAGACCATACAATTTTTGTATAATACATTTCTTTCTGAGCGGTATACAAACAAGTTAGAAAAGAGGTCATTTTATAGCATAACACCATGTACCTTATTAAATTAAATTGAGGATATCTGAAACGTGCTCCTACTATATCTTTAACAGACTTTGGAAGATTTAAGACGCATATTGTCAATTGAGGTTCATTTCTCAAAATTATTTAACTTCAATGTTGATGCTTAATTTCCATTCAGTTTGTGACATAAATATAGTGATTTTGTGTCCGTCTTTTTCTCATTGTGAAACTTTCAAAGGTCGTGCAGAACTAAGACAATGTTAAAGGACTGAAGTTTTATAAAGGGAAATACTTTTCTGATTCCAATTTTAATCTATTTTTTTTCAAACATCCTATAATACAAATACACTGTTCTATTTTAGAAATTTTTTCGATAATACAGGTATATTGACGTTTTGAGAGTATCCCAGATTCAACTGAATTCTTCAAATGAAAAATTACATATGGAAATTCACAGAACATAGAACAGAGATAATAACTGAAAAGAGAGTTTTTAGGGACTTTTCTGAACGTTTGAATTTCTCCGTTTAAGATAAACACGAAAAAAAAACGGTTGTCCAAATTTCTTGATTTCTGATTATCCTGTGGCTCTGATTTTTCACTCTAACTATACCCATGTCTAAAAAACTCTCTCTGCATACAGGCGATGATATATACATTATACGATTTCTGAGAGATACTATCAACAATCTAATTTACGATAGCACTTTCCTCTTCTACATCTTTATAATACTGCATATTTTTCTGAGCGACTTTCTCTAAGAAACTTCAGAAACTGATACTTCGATTAGTTTTGTCACTTCCTTAACATTTCTCGGGAAGTGAGGTACTAATAAATATCGCCCAATATTCGACGCCAAGAGTATTCAGTGAAGTAGTAGTAGTATTCAAAGAATTGTTATATCTTTTGAGGTCCTACTCTTAAATTATGAATACCATCCATTATTCGATTTGCATTGTGCAAATATGACACAGGCTGACAAAAAAGTCATAAAAGATGAACTGCTATATTATTTGTTGTAAACTTTATGAAGTAGCTTGTACGTTTCCACAAATCAATCGTAAACCGTCACTAAGTAGCCGTACTTTACGATTTTCTGTCTAATTGCTCAGATTATGGGTGCTCATACAAAAAACAAAAGAACATCATTTACGTATATGTGTATGTATTTACACAGTGTTTAACCACTTGTAGCTTATACACCTGTTTAGTCCATAAAACATTGACGTTACGACTTTATGATCGATTTAGCAGTAAAAGGCAGTTGAGGTGTTTATATACTTAACAAATTACGGCAGCTACTCCATAAAGCATTCCTTGTTTCAGATGATAAGTGGGTATTTGAGATACATATAGAATTGACCAGTGAAAAAGGGGAAGCCAGGAGTGGGGTTAAATGAGATTAAAATACGGAATCTATCTAATTCATCATGGTCCAGAGATATACATGCTACCAAACCACTCTTGTTTATATTACTTGGCGATCTTTATAAATTAGATGTCGATATTTTTGAGACTCACTTATCAGATGATATAAAATATGCGAGATTGCGAATGGACAGAGAAACATATTTTTTTCAGCTCTTGTAATCAATAATTGTGATTAATGTAAGCGTATTATATGATATACATAATTTCATACAAAGAAAGTAACAATAACGTACACACGAACAGTTTTTCAAGTTCTTTCATTCGTATTATTATTAATTGTGGAATTCTTCTTGTAAAAGCTCAAAAAATCAGTAAATATATATACAGGGTGTTCCATAATTATTGCGACAAAATGATAGGGGTTGTAGAGGGCATAAAAATATGCAATTTTGCCTTATAAACCCCTGTTCGTAAATATGCCGTTTGAGCACTACAGTTAATTTTACCTTAAGAGCTCATAGGAGAAACAAAAAATTCACCAGCTGGAAAATGTTCGTCTAGCACATTTCATGGTCTCACCGGTTTGTAAAAAAAGCCTGCTGTGTTTACATTTTTGTTATCGTACACCCGTACCACCTTTTAAAAGTCCAAGCCATGGGTCCAGCAGACTATCTGCCGCGTCGACGTTTTTGCCGTTGGTGGCTGCAGCAGGAGTTGAGGCAACCAAACTTTGGTCGCTACGTTTTGTTCACTGACGAGTCCTGTTTTACAAAGGACGGTTATTTTAATAGCCATAACAGTCACATTTGGGATGAAGAAAACCCTCATGCCATATCCATCCATAGAGACCAACATCAGTTTTCAATTAACATCTGGTGCGGCATTGTGGACGAGCATATCATCGGGCCATATCTGCTTCCACCACGTTTGGATGGGCATGCTTATGGTCGATCCTTACAGCATGTGCTACCGGAACTATTACAAAATGTGTCACTGAATATAAGAGCCAACATGTGGTTTCAACACCATGGCGGTCCAGCCCACTTTTCTTTACAAGTGCGGCAGTATTTGGGCGACAAATTTCCAAATAGGTGGATAGGCCGAGGTGGCCCTGTGCCTTGGCCCGCGCGGTCACTTGACCTGACCCCACTGGATTATTTTATCTGGAGCTATCTGAAAGCTATAGTGTACGAAACTCCTGTTCCCAACCAACAAGAGCTACTGGGAAGAGTGATGGCCGCGTCCGCACATGTTCAGGACATACCGGAGGTATGCCACAGAGTTCGCCGATCATTGAACAATCGTGCACAGCTGTGTATTGAGCAAGGTGGAGGACACTTTGAGCAATTACTGTAGGTAAGCTGTTTCAAGAAACTGATCTTTTTTTTTTGCTGCAGCCCAAACGGCATATTTCCGAACAGGGGTTTATAAGGAAAAATTGTTCATTTTGATGCCCTCTACAACCCCTATCATTTTGTCGCAATAATTATGGAACACCCTGTATATATATATACATATATACATAAAAAAGGTAGGAAAATAATGAGCAAAATCCGCAAAAAGGAGGGAAGTGGATTCGAGCAGAAAATAGGATAGGTAACCCGAGCGATATGTATTTCTGCTGGTTGGCTTCATCAGGCCCGAAATGAATGCATATATTATGAAACTACAAAAGTAGATACACATGCCCACACATCCGGATACGGATGTCACCTGAGGAAACGAAGATGGAAAGGGAAAAAAACGACATACGAAATCCACAAGACCGAACCTACACATTGTAGTATAAAATAGCTAGAAGACCTCGAATTTTCAAGGCAACAACTAACCACAATCACGCGGCCGGTTCTAGCCACTTGCTGTGGTACTTCAATCCAAAGGATCTACAAAAAGAAAATGATCATGCTGAGAAAGGTATTGAATAAAAAGTAGGAAAATAATGGGCAAAATCTATTCTATTTTATTAATATACTATTTTCCTACTGTTTGTTATATACCTTTCTCCGCATGATCATTTTCTCTCTCTCTCTCTCTAGATATATATATATATATATATATATAAATAACAGTATGGATACATAAAAAAATCGAATTGAGTGACTTATGGTGGTTTTGAAACGGCTGATTCACGCATATTCCATCCAAATTGATAAAATTGTTATTAATGTTATGACCTTACCTATAACAATTTGCATTTAATTCGTTAATGCGAATTTTAACATTGTATCTAGTGACAGTTGGAGTGTTTGCATTAAAATGCTAAGTTGCATCATATAAAAAAACATAGAAAGATAAGCACACCAGGTTCAAATGAGACAATGTAACAAATGTTTATCTACTGAATGCTACAATGTTGAATACCCATTATAAATATTTCTGCAACTAATTACCTTTAATGGTAGGAAAACTTCCTGTCCGTATCATGGAAAAAATACGTCGTGCAGTAATAAATAGTCACGCATTTCCTCAATTGATGATCAGAATCCTTGTGATAAATCAACAGGTTTTACAAAATCAAATTGCTGTAGTTTCAGCGTAAGTTCAAAATTGTAAATGAAGCACCGAAGGGGAAAAAAGTCATTTAAAAAAATCACTAAGAAAATTCACGAGAATATAAAAACTATAGAAAAAATAAACAAAAATGATGACTGTAAACGTATGTTAAAAGTTATTATATAATAATTCAAACTCCTGTTCCTTAAAATGGGACGCTACAAAAAACATTAAAAACCAGATTTAAAAAACAACAACGCGCAAATAAGCAAAACTGAAAAAGCCAAGAGTCTGAAGAAATTGAACGCACTTATCAGACGGGAGTAAGAAGCATATATATTTCTTTTGTATGAGGAGAATTCGCATTGACCAGTGACATAATATATTTGTAAGCCACTATTCTACTACATCTTTGCTCTTAAATAACTGCACACAGGCCAACAAATAAGATGATGATGATGACCTGCGACAGCAACTTTTTTGGGGTTTCGTTAGATTGTTACTTCCAGTGATGAGTTCAAATTGGTGTCGTGATAGACGTGCGGCTATTTTGATATACAGGTTTGATCCTCGAAAACCATCGATCCTACGCAAATAAGTTATACAATTTGGTAGGGAATTCAATTCTTTATCTTTCATAGAAATTTGTCGTACAGTCAAGAGAAATTGAAGAGTAAAGGGACGTGTAAAGATATTTTCGCTCATAATGGCTAAACAAAGTATCTGGGAATATAAAACACTACTTCTAGAGGATAAGATTTGCTTCAAAAAGGTCTCTTTCGTGTTTTAGACACCTTGGTAGTTCTTTAAGTATAATGAGATAAAGTTGTATATTCACGCAACATACTTCGCATGCTACGTACGTTGTCCACGTGTAAGCATACTTTATTTCAAGTGGAGATAGATCACTATCTATGATCAAGAGCAACATTTTAATTTGATTCCATTTTTTACTACCACGTGTAAGCATATACAATGTAATATTTTTAGATGATTGTTGATGTTTTTATTATGAATTGTCACTGCATAATTTCAGTAACCGTTGAAGCGATTTTGATGGAAGAGAATATGCAATTAATAATAATAAATAGCCTAGCTAGAAGCTGCTTTCAATACCAACAAGTGGTGGTATAGTTTATAATGCTGGCTTAAGGAATCACTCCATTTCCATTGAAACCGTTGTAACTGCTTCTGAGGCTACGCAGTGACATAATGACCAAGAGACAGACTGATGGAAATGAGTGTTACATTTTCCATGCCTACGCTGCCAGTAAGAAAAGGATTCATTCTCATTCCATTCTCAAAAAATATAGTGATGTTTTAATACTTTTAAATTCTTATGCGCGAAAATGTCATTATATGTACCTTTACCCTTCAATTTCTCGTAAGCTATTATTGACTATATGTCAAATTTTTATAGTAGCGAAAGGATGAAGAATTTATTTCTCTGCAAAATTGTTTCTTTTACTTTTCTACATCGGATCCATGGTTTTCGAGATTTTTGATCAAACGTGCCTAATGACATTATATTTTATTTATCTGTCTTCCATGCAGTTCGTTTGTTTTTTCCTTTCATTATCTCATTCCTATACAGTGTATTACTACAATATGTTCGGAATTTTTTGAAAATATCCTTTATATGATCTTGAAGTGACCTTCAAATGCTGAAATAGAGAAAAACTAATCCCTAAACGCTACTACCACTGGAAATCGTATAAATGCTATGAAAATTGTACATATTTTTTGTCAGCATTTCGGTATTCTAGACCACGGTCTGTCGCTGTCAGGTGGTTGCTTCAATTCATCAACCCTGAGTCGCAATGCGGATTGAGCGGTAAAAGAATTACGACTGCAATTGAAAAACGAGATAGAAAAGCGTCAGCGAGCCGTTTGCTCAAAATGCGAGTTGTTATGTGGACCAATTAATATCGCTGTATTTACTCACTTTTGTTGAGTTCTGTTCTCTGCCACCTGGTTGGAGTCCGATCATTCGGAGCATCCATAGCTGATGTCATTCATCGACCGGAATTATTTTACGAGACTCAAAGGCTCTTAGACAGACGAAAACACCAAACATCATAAACCTATTTCTGTCCAGGTTACAGGCAAAATTAGTCACATGTAAACAATTACCCTGGTATAAGTTCGACTGTCTCTATTTCTAGGCGCCAAAAAACGATTCGACGCGTATTTATTTATAAAACACACGCCTCTCTTCCATGAAAAATTCCACCAAGAGATGCCAAGCTTTTTTAGAATAAACGCATGGATAAATCCGACCATGACGTCACCTGAATTTGTTTATATTTTTTATGACAGCCACGCTTCTAAATAAACCATAAAGTTTTAAAAAATGGACGTATCATTCATACTTTCAGAACTTTTAGAAAAAATATACGGGAGGTTTTAGTGTGGGCTCTCCGTAATTGCCCATGTCACAAAAATTGTAGTCAACACTATGCTCTTTACTTGGAAAATATTTTTATCTTTACGGGGTTTAGGTTTAGGAAGGTCAATATTTTTTGAAAGTTTAAAGATATACAATCTGCTAATTTTTGTAAAAATATCTAGTAATGTTGACATTTTGATAAAGATAATTCGGAGACACTATTTTGGTTTGATGTGACGACCACTTTGCAAATTTAACACATTTTTGTAGATATTTATCAATTGAAGTAGCGTAAAGCTAATTAAATCCTTTTCTATTTAATTTTAATTGGGTATACTGATAATTAAATTTTTTAATTCTGGGAAATCAAACTCAGAAATTGCAACTTTGTCAGACTTATCGCGCTACAGTATGAGAAATATTGTTAGAAGATATAATGTAACTGGTTCAGTTAATATTAAGTCACGATATGTGAAAAAAAGTAATATCACAAATGCCGACCGAAGAGCATTAAGAAAAATAATCGTGAAAAACAAGCGTGCCAATTATTTACAATTAAGTGCTCTGTGGAGTGACGCTGTTGGAAGGAGAATTTCGAGATCCACAACTCATAGAGAGGCCTACAAACTGGGATTTAGCACTTGCAAGGTAAGTTTTCTTATAAAAAAAAAGTGAAGTAAAAACCCTAAAGTTGCACAACTTGTGTATAGGCCAAAGAAAAGCCACTATTAGCTCCACTGCAAAAGAAAAATCGGCTTAGATGGGCTAAAGAACATAGACACTGGACACTTCAACAATGGTGTGCAATACAATGGAGTGATGAGGCCCGATTCGAAGTTTGTGTTGTTGACAGTCGCAGTAGAGTTATTCGCAAAAAGAATGAAGCATTCCATGTTGACTGTCTGAAGAGAAAAGTGGAATTTTCAGCATCCATTATGGTCTGGGGCAGTATGTCATCAAAAGGTGTAGGAAAACTTCATTTTATTGATGGAAATGTGGATACAAACAAATATTTGGCAATTTTAGATGAATCGGTTTTACCAGTGATGGAAGAATGTTTGACATCCGGCCAAGATTTTGTGTTTCAGCAAGATGTTGCAGCGTGCCATACCGCAGAAAAGGCTATAAAATGGATGGAAAAAAATAATGTACCACTTGTGAAATGGGTTTCTAGCAGTCCAGATCTGTCACCTATTGAAGCTTTGTGGCACGAGATGAAAAAGGTTCTACGACAACATCCAATCAGCGAACTGAGACAAAAGCTTCATGAAATATGGGATTGTTTTACACCACATTTTGACCAAAACTTGGTTAACACTATGCCCCAAAGAATTTCAGCCGTAATAAAAAATAAAGGTGATGTTAGCCAATGGTAATCTTTCAATTGTTGCTTTGTTAACTTCGCGCATTTATTCGCACATTGTTTATTTGTTCAGATGTTCTATTAGTTATAGGTCTAAGTGATTTCAAATATGTATTTTTTACGACTAGAGTGTATCTAAATTGTTTTTGGGAAAATAAATTGTTTTAGAAGTAAATAGTTTCGTCACGTTTAGTTTATAAAGGCATATTTTGGTACAAATCTTGAAGTGGGCCAACTGAAGTGGGAAGGGGCTCGTAATACACTATAGGGTTTTAATTTCACTTTGTTGTTTGTCAATCTATCGAAGAAAAAACACTCAACTTTGACAACGCCCACTTTGGCAACTGTTATAATTAGAGTACTAACTTTTTCGTGAAGACAATTTCATGATCCTTATGTTCTCCGTATCCACTTAGTTTTTGGCAGTTCATGCAGTTTGTCAAATGAACGATTTCTAAAAACTTTCAAATGGTACAGTTCGTATATTTCCACGTTATTTGATTTCCGTTTTTCACAAGCTTTCTTTATTTTATTTTATATAGCAGATCTCAAGGTAAATGAAAAACGTTACAATGCCTTGCAAAATAAAAAATAGCATTCGTGTATTATTTTCACTGTAACCTTAGCCTGTGCGATAAAATTGAAAAGTCAAGAAGGTGTCCCTGTATTTTTCGTAACTCAAAAACCAGTGTATAGACTCTCATAAACCGTATATCAGGCAAGATCTTATGAAAAGGGGAATCAAATAAAATATAAGAGTATGCAGGGTGTTCCATTTAAAGATTTTAAGGAAAAGTTCATTTTGCGTTCTTGAGCATCTTGTATAAACTATCCAACTCGCCATAAGAGTAAGTGGATACAAAGAAAATATGGGATTATAAAATTTGAGGAGTGTTTTTTTTCTCATAGATTGTTCAATATTTCACTAATTTGGAAATAAAACGATATGTTATATCAAATTACTTCGTTTGAATGGCCTGCCCAAACCTGCAATAAAATGCAGTAATTAAATAAATGCATATTTGTGTCATCACGGCGTTATGAATCATCTCGTACATATAAAAATATTTTCCAGTCCATGCGTAATCACGGAGTTATTCATCAAACTCACAGTAAAAACTTACCCTGTATGTAAATGTCCGCGCACATCAGCAAACTTCAATTTAGAATCAAATAATTTGGAACACGTACGTTTTTAATGAATGTTCTAAATATGTTTCAATGAACTCTTTAAGCCTAAATTAATCATATTCGTTATGCTAACCAACACTGGCTCCATTTGTATTTGTTTATTTTTTTATTACTATTTATTATTAACCAGGCGTGAGACATTTCGGAATATTACACTTGGTAAAGATTTTGTTTAAGTGACGCTAGCCACTCGTGGTTTTCAACTCTTTGAAAAAAGATTCTCAAAATATATTAATATCCTGTAAAAACTTTATGAGTTTGATTAAATACCTAAATATGCTTCTTAGAATATATAAATCATCCTTGAAACCAGAGAAGATATAAGGCTCGCGGTGAGTAAAGCTATATTTTATATTTAATAAACGAATAACCGCACGAAGTAAAAGTCAGATTGATAGCCCTAATTTAACTAATAGTTCCATTATTCACTTCATTTGGAAACTGGTCAATTGTCATGTAGTGGCATTTTCGTCTGAAAAGCAAACTTTATTTATAATATACTGGAGAGCATGACTATCACCCCACCAACAATTTCCGTTTTTTTTTGCTGGCCTCAATTGTAACTTAATATAATTTGCAGGAGTGATAAAACAAAAACAAATTCATTTAACAACAAAACAGGTGATTGGGTATTGATTAATGAAAAGCGCCTTAAAGGGAGTGGTGCATTATTATAGTCCCACTACATTTTTTAGCAAAAATAAGCTAAAGCGATTTCATCGTACGCGTAGCTGCTATTAGATAGAACTGTTAGGGATCTCAGTTCACATTTAATAGCTCAGTGACCACGTGACCTCTAGATAGCTGACGACTCTGGCTGTAAAGTAGATGTTTTCTACTAGCCATAAAACATGATGGTTGCTGTTTAGTTTGCAGTGTTATCAGTTTTGTGAAAAAATGCATTTTTTTCTCCAATCGTAATTTGTTAACAAGTCAATAGTAGTACAGCTCTAAAAATGTATGTCAATATTCCGCTTTTATCGAAGAATTGAGCTGGCGATTACTTTTTTCTTATCCCTTTCTCTCTTCAAAAAATCTTTGCGTTTCTTAGAAAATCAAAGATTTTTCGAAGAGAGAATAAAAGTAGTCACCCCCCTAATTCTACTATAAAAGTGAAACACACTATTCCAGAGCTGCACTAATATTTATTAACAAGTTACGATTTAAGAAAAAATGCCCAATAAAAAGCACAAAAACACATTGATAGAATTGTTTTTTAGTCATCTCTATATGGAATAATCGGATGAAATGGATTTCGATTACGGCTTCAAACAGTTGAAAAAAGGGACGAGCGACCTTAATAATGTTGACAACATTTTTTAATTAGTTCGCGGTTATACTGTTGACTAACCAACCAGGCTCTAAATTGGTTCTGATGCGAAAGCTAAATTACAAAATGGGCGAATTTTTGACAGAAATTGCCAATATCCCTTTTAAGAAAGAATCAAGTATTGAAATAAAAAGATAAATATTGACGAGTGTTTAAAATACATATGTTCTGAAATATGTAAATGCAAATATGTCAACTTGAAATTTGGGTTATGATCACGGCCAGAAACTCCTGATTCTTATCATTAAAATATTGTATATTTCCAACTTTCAACGTTCGAAGCAATAAATCTTGCAACTTAAAGAATTCATGATGAGAATGTTTGACAAAGAAAATACATAATTTAAGTCATTGGTCGCATTATCCGTCGGAATAAACTTTTCAGGGAGCTTACATTAAAACGCTGATAAAGCTGGAGCAGCTTTCCGCCATCTGGCACACCATCGCCTGCGCACTTGACTCAGCCATACCGACGTGTCTGTTTTATATTTTCCCAGACAATTTACGTTTATTCCTGTTTACTAATCTAGCCAGCCATGGTCTGTTCAGTATCCATTCACACTAGAAATCACGTAGGCTTACCGTACTTCATTGATTTGGTTTGCAGTCGTTCACAAGCACACACACTGATGGCGTCGACCGATGCTTGTAGGTTAGGTTATAGACGGCCATGCTGAGGAGGCGTTGCACTCTCGGATGAAACAGTTGAAAGCCGAACAGCTGGCCTTTG